CAGGTTTGGAATTCCACAAAAAGAGGGGAAAAGGCTGAGAGTGTGCCTGTATGTGTGTGTCTGTGTGTGTGTGTGACACAAAAGTTGCCAAGCTGCTTAAGCACACTGGTTCTCAATCTTGTTGGTTCCAGGGATCCCATACAAGGAAGAACTTCTTGACAGGATGGTATGTCAGAGGAATTGTAAAAATGTGCCTATTTTCAAAGAAAAAAGTCAAGATGTTATGATAACAAATGTATCCGTTTTGATTGCCCAAAGGTAAGGTAGGGATGACTCAGCAGTTTATATATATTTTTTCCTCAAATGTAATAATACAATAATAATAATAATAATACATATAGCTGATTGCAAATTGTATTTTGTGTCCCAAGGTACGACCCTTGGACACCTGGAGTTCCGGGGACCTCAGTTTGAGAACCGCTGCTTAAGTAGACTGAGCAAAAGCAAATATAAATGATTCTAAATCCTTCAAAGAAAGAAAGAGATGACTTTAAAAGGACTCCTGAACAAAATCGGATTTTTTTTTTTAATTTTTTTTTTTTGGGTCGCTTTTTTTGCGGACGGGGAGGGCAAAACAAGGAGCTGTCGTCACTTTCGGACCATGCATGCAGTGTAACCGCCATTTTGTCCGTGTGAGTGGATGTGTGTGTGCTCACGCGCGTTTGTGTGCGTGCCCCCCCCACCCCCACCCATTTATCAAGAGCAATTTACAACCAACAAAACAGGAAAATAACCATTATTTGTTTTGTTTTAAATGTCAATGTTTTCTATGATGAAATATGTCTTTGGAGAAAAGAAACTAAAAGCGAAAAAAAAATGAATGGAACTGAAACACAATCTCATCATACCTCACAAGAGTCAAAAGGAGCGCGGGAGGCGGGAGTCTTACGTTTTTTGTTTTGGGGATTTTTTTTTTGCGGTTACATGTGAACACTTGGAAAACAAACCGTGTGTTAACGAGCCTTTGTGCGTACAAGTTACAAACTCTCAGCACCCGCCCTCACCCTCCGCCGCCCTCCAGTGGCGTGCTTTTGCGGAGACTGAGGGGGTTCACGGTGCTCTTGAGTTTTGTTATGGCTGAGTGTTTCTGGTATTGAATGTAGCTGACAGGAGGAGGAGGGTGGGGGGGCTGCACCCGAACACCCCCACCCCACCCAAAAAAAAAAAAAACTTCCACACACCAGCAGAGAGGACGGCGCATATACACACACACACACACACACACACACACACACACTTGGGCGCTGTTGTTTATGTGTGTGTTTGACAAATGTTGTCTGTTGAACGCAGCCAAACCGTCCCAACACGTTAACTGACATCACTTGACCTCCCCCTCCCTCCCGGGCCATCCCCCTCCCCTGCTCCCCTTACCTGTTGTAATGCAGGCGTTTTGTGTGTGTGTGCGTGTGTGTGTGTGTGGCTCAAATGACATGCAATGTTTTGTTGACATGCCTCAATGTCTATTGTGCATTTCTCCCCCCTCCATAAGTGAAACATCATCTGCTCAGTACCGTGGTTACCCAATCTGCATGCTCAACTAAATCGTAAATAAGACACATCTGTCATGAGAAGGCACACAAAAAAAAAAGTTTCCAAACATCTTGCCCACAAAGACACAGGAAGTCTACAGTTTTAGTCACAATCCATTTGGTTCCTTTGAATTTTGTGAACATTCCCTCCCCGAAGCCACTTTCACTAAGTCCCATGAAATTTGGTTGGCAAATGTATCATGAGTAGATGAACAACAAAAAAAAAAGCTTCCAGAAATCCCGCCCATGAAGTGACAGGGAGCCTGTTTCTGAGATGTAAAATCAGCCCCCGAAGCCACATTGACTTCGTAACATGAAATTTGGTAGCCAAGTGCATCATGAGTAGACCAACAAAAAAGCCTCGCCTGAAAAGACGTGCAGACACATTTTGGCTTGAAATGGCCCTTTCAGGCTTTTTTGTAAGTAAGCCATCACCAAAAAGACACCCAAAGTCGTTTGTCCTCCTGAAGATTTTATCCAGCCGCTACCAAATGTCAACGATATTCAACGATTGTCGATTTTTGTCGCGTATGCGTGTTGGGTAACCTCTCCCCTCCCAAGTTGGCCTTTAGCCTGAGCGCTAATCGGGATGCTGTCTTGTCAAACTGTGTGCGCGTGTGGGCCTCAGTGTACTTGATGCTCTCATCGCTCGGTGGGCAATTCCGCAAAAAAAAGAAGCCAAAACCTCCCAAATCAGCGTTACGTTCATCGCCGCCCTCCACCAAGCTAAATTCCCCGCCTCTTGGAGACGTGTGCAAAGCTTTAAAGTTTTTTCCACCCAGCGACCAAGTTAATGTAAAGAGCGCTGACGACGCAGATCTATTTAGCGACACGTCACGAATCGCCAACGCAGAGCACTTAACTCAGAAGCACTTTGGACGTACGCGAGCGTCTCCACAAAAATTGGGTGACCACGCAAATGTGATTTGCGGGTTTTGAGGGGATTTTAAATTTGATCGAAAGTTTACAATTTTAAAGGAGTGCAATAATAGGAAAGCGATTTTTTTTTTGTAAGATGCACTTAGATGCACAAGGGATTCTGATGCGCCCACCCGAGAGCAGCAAGGCCACATACACACACACACACACACACACACACACACGCGCACACACACACGCACGCGCGCACACACAGACCACTTTTTGTGACTAGGTATCGAAAGCTGTTGAAGGATTCTCTCAGGTAAAAGATTTTTTTTTTCTAAATAAATGATGATGAAACTTAGATGGACACAAACGTTTATTTTGTTTGTCTTCATTCAATGTGCCCTCGGTCATTGCCATTGCTCCTTTCGCCCCCTAGTGTCGGGATGTCAAACATGTTGCTCCTCAACCGCCCCTTTTTTCTTTTATGTGCTGTATTCAATTCCGTTTTTTTTTTTTTTTTACTTCCCTGTCGTGAATACCTGAGTGCATCCGGACTTTTTTTTCCCCTCCACATTTTATGTTGCAGAATTATTCTGAAATAGAATTTAGTTATTTCTCTCGAATTTTGAGTACGAACGACTCGATTCCATGATGAAGCAAGTCTGGAATATAAAATGGTGGAGAATGGACCGGTAATGCTTTCTCGAAGCACTCATTTAGCTTTGAAAAGTCACAACACGCCGTCTTCAGCACTTCAAATTAATCAAATCAGTTTTTTTTTCCCCTTCATGATTGTGATTCACCGTGGGATTTTAATATTAATGTTCCATTTTCATCATCTTTTTCTTCCCAGTCGAAAATGAGACATTGTTCCCACAAGCCATGAATCATATCCAGATTTTTAATTTCTTGATGTAGTGTTATGCCAGCCTCCTTTTCTGTGTGTGTGTGTGCCAGTGTGTGTGTGTGTGTGCGACGTCTGGCGACTCCTCAGCTTCCCCCTCCTCCTCCTCCTCCTCCTCCTCATCGTCGCCCTTTCCAGCCTCAAAGCACCTTTTGAGGCCCGTCTCAAGCGTGCCACACTTTGGAGGAATGTACCTAATCATGTGTCCGACGTGATTCAGTCCAGGCGAGCGAACGCTTTTTCGCGGGTTCCGAGATGGTGTCCATGATGAGAGCGCGGGTCGTTTTTCATATTTAAGCTTGTCGCGGAGGAGATTCAAAGCATGCGGGAGATGAAGCCATGTCTGCGTGAGGTCGTCCGCTGCCAAATATTAACGTGGATTTATATGCAGTCTTTCACGGGGACTCAAGGACTCACGGGGGTTGATTAAACTGTGGACCTTGTTAGCCTGATGGAACATTCCGGTAGGAGGGTAAACCTCCTAAGATGATGCGGCGAAGTGATTTGAAACTGTTTGTTCATCAATCTGGTCACTGTCTTGGTTCACATCAGCAGTCATCCGGCGGCATGCGCTTAGCTGGCTAGTTGTGCCTACGCCTGGCTCCTCGTTGGCCGTGAGTGCAGGCGTGCCAGGTGAAAAAGAGAGAAGCGCGAGGAGAAACAAAAGATATAAATGCCCAATTTGACAGTCACCGTTTCAAATTGCGCCGCTTTGACAGCTTTGGAGTACCCTCGTTGTTGGCTGTGAGTGCACAAGAATTAGTTTAAAAGGCCAACGTGATGGCCAGCGTTTGGACTGTTGCTTTGGGCTGGTGTGGCTGCTTTCGAGCGCCACGTTGTTGAACTAGAGCATTTGAGTGGAGATGATTTTTCACCATTTTGAAGCCTCTTTATATACACTCTGGAGTGCAGAGCGCGAGATCGGATTCCAGAATTTAGAGCTCACAACCCCTCCCCAGACCCATATTTTGATTTTCGCTTTCCGCACAGGTCGTTGTCGAGCTACTTTTTGCCACTGAGGAGTGTGAATGGTCTGCCCGATAAAATGAACAACAGAGAGCACTTAAAAGGAGCGGCTGGGAATGATCACGCCAAGACAGCTAAGAATGTACGCAAATGAGAGTCTGAACCGGAGATGCTTTATAGTCGGCTTTACATATGCAAATGTTTGTCAGGTGGAAAAATGACTGCTCAGGTTCAAGAAAAAGAAAAGACGGGCCTTCGAGTGTGTTTTGAGGCTCCCCTCCCCCTTTCCCCCGCGTCTGGTTTGTGTCCCGCCTCACGACGACCTCCGCCACACACGTCCGTCCTCAGTCGTATGCAAAGCCGGCAGCCCAAATGAAGGGACGACAAAAGCAAACAAAACCCTCTGTAGCAGGTCCGAGCCGCCTCACACGACACCAGCAAAGTCCAAACACCTCTCCAGACCTCACGTCCACCCGCGACGACTTCTTCTTGCTCGCTTGGCCACGCCGTTCGTCACACGGGAAAAAGACGAAGCTCGCGTGCTCGTCCTCGATGTTTCTGTGTCGCACGTTGTTCACAAATGTGTGTCTGCCGTTTGCATTCGAGGAAAAAAAAAAAAAAAAAGACGCCGGCTCCAAAATCCGGTCTGCAACTAAATGGATTTCAATGCGCCGAATCCCTCATTTGCAGATGTCAAAGCGCTTCTTTGTTGGGAAGTTCTCCTTTTTTTATGCTGTTGTTGTTGTTTTTCAAGACAAAAATAGTTTCACACATACCACCTCGCAGAGATGCTCTTCAGTCCGTCCCAAAGGCCTCAGTGTGACCGCGGCCTGGCCCTGCACGCACTCAGGGAGGTTAGATGGAAGGTGCCAAAGACCGTGAAGTGTGTCAGGATGGATAGGAGGATCTTGCCATCTGTGCGCAAGTTTGTCTGTTATGTGTGTAAAACAATGTACTTGGAATCCTTCAAATTGGCCCACCAAAGAGACGGAACAATGGAAATGTTGTTCGCCTTTCACACAGAACCAAGTAAAAGTCGAATATTGCCATGTTGCAGCGCATGCACTGCAGCACTGCGTCCAGCAATCTGGTCCAAACATCTGCTGAGTGTGGGGAAAATTCATTTCGCATCCCAGGGGAAATCTGCAAAATTGCTGCATCAAGACATGACAGGAAAGTTGTTCACATTTACATTTCACACAGAGCCCAGTGAAGCAGGACGTTGCTGTGACTTGTATGCAACGCCACCATCAGATTATTCGGCGTTTGGAAAAATGGTCTTATCTGAGCCTGGATCCCCCCCCCCCCCCACCTTGTCTTTCACACAGAACCCAGCAAAGAAAGACCTTGTCTCGACTGTGCGCAAGTAACATGGCAATATCCTGCAGAATCCATAATTTCATGTCAACTAGTGTGTGCAAAATAGGTGAATGACTCGCCGGTGTGTTTCACACGGAACACAGCGAAACTGCCTGTTCCGTGCTCTTTCACGCGGCACACCAAAAAACGTCTTTTCTCGCCTCAACGACATCACATGCTGGTCACAAGGGTGCGCCGAGTCCACAATTTGTCTTTCGGGAATTGGCGAGAAACATCTGCAACTTTTCACTTTTCTTTCATGCGCAAGCCAGTCTGGTGCCAATACGCCCACCCCCCCCCACCCCCCAAAAAATCATTTTTTTTAAAGAAATGCATTGCGGTCCCAGCACAGGAGCAAATAACAAAAACAAAACCCCCAGGAAAATGGCCGCCGATCTACTGTGATGTCCTCTCATGTAAACAACAAAAAACACGGTGGACCCTCACCCACCTGCACCTGACCACCACACACACACACACACACACACACACACACGCCCTTGTCACGGGCGGGGTCAGGTCAGGTGTGTGTGTGTTGGTCCACGTGTGACAATCAGCGTGTTTATGTGTAACATGTCCATGTCGTTTTTGCTTTTGTTTGTTTGTTTTTAAAGCTATTCTTTGTTGGTCAGGCTTTTCAAAGGAAGATATTTTTCTGGTAATTGTGGCTGGTCTATTTGAATGATATATTTATGTAATAAATATGTGACTTTAAGTGACTTCTCTGGTCTGTTGGCTTTGTTTTCGATGAGGCGCTAATCAATTGAACCTCCAACCGCGCAGCTTTGGCTGTTGGTATCTGCGGACCGAAACCAAGAGAAAATGCGGTTTTCCCATTGAAAACGTTTTTTTTTTTGTTTTTTTTTAATCACACACACAACTAAAATGCTCTCACACATTACTAAAACACTCACATTCTACTGCTTTTTTCCCTCACTCACACTTCAGATTTTTTTGGATGGGGGAAATCACATACACTACTGACTTGACCCCTGACCCCTGCCTTCTTACAGCTCTGGTGAGGCTCCATGGGACAAGCAAGAGAAAAAAAAAAAAGGACACCCTGCTGGGCGTCGAAGTGTAAGTGTTGAGTTGCGGATGTGTTGTTGTCAAGTCAAGTGGGCCATGTGGGGATGGGTGGGGCCTGTCGTGGGGGACGTGAGCTCACGCGGGCAGCTTTCCTCTCAACCAATCCCTGCCTCATTTCTCTGACGCCAGCCCTGCCCCTCTGGATACACCCTTTTGTGCGAACCCCACCTCACACACAGAGCATCCCCCCCCCACACACACACACACACACACATTTCACGCTCCCTACCCGGTCATTGCGGGGAATTTTCCACTAGGCCGAGAAGGAAAGCCGCAGCCAGCTGCGCTTCCCAGTGGGCACCACGCTCTTGTTGTCTTGTTTGTTGGCCTTATTTTTCTCTCTCTTGGCACAAGTGTTCAAAACCATGAGCACTCCCTCTCCCAGATCACTTTTTCCACTCGCTCGTCTGCGGCGTCCATTCATGCATGAGCACACCGAGCGGCGGCGGGCCATGTGCATGTGAGCATGTGAGGCCCTGCGCTTATGTAAGACCCCCGCCCCCTCCTGTCCCGGTGCACATACGTGGGCCCGCAAATCAGGTCAAGCGAGGACGACGCGCCCAGACAGCTCAACTGCGACGTACACTTCAGTACAGTACAAAGTGTTTACTGCAATACTCTCACGCACACGACTGAAGCGCTGACGCGTCGGCGAAACGCACTCACACAAACGACTGATTTTTATGGCGCGAAACGTTCAATGTTGTTGCCCCCCGGGAAGGCCCTTCATTCATCTGAAGCAAAGCAATAACGAGGATAACAGGATGTCCTTCGGGCAGCTTGCTGGGTTTTTAGTGAATCAGATTTCAGCGCAACCACTAAGCGGACTGTTTGGGTACATGAACAGAATTGGATTCACTTCCTTTTGATGCCGATCGCCAAACTGATGTATGTCCATCATTCATGGGAGATGATGGGGGGTGATTTTATTGACGAAACATTGTTTTCAGGGCTGCTTCGTAAATGATCATTGGAGCTTTTCACACACACCTCTACTCTGCAAAAAAAAAGAGAGAGAGAGAGAAAACAGCAGCACCAATGTGTCTTTGTTGACAGGGGCTCTCAGATAGGCAACGAAGCAGGTCTTACGCTGAGAGTACAACAATAAATTGCACGTAGAGTGATTATGGTGCAGGAAGGCATATTTGGTAAGGTACCCCGTGTTTGAAGAGCTTATGTGGGACTTGCGAGGAATGAAAACATCTTTGTGCTGGAAGCTTCTCAGGCAATAACACACACGCACGTACGCACGCACACACACACGCACACACACAGGCGCGCGTACTGGGGTTGGGGGGGGGCACCCCCTGTTAAAAGTACAATTTAACAAACTTTGGCCAGCCGCTGAAAAAAATCGAATGGAGGTGGTTATCATGTTTATTTGCTCCACTATGAAATACTTATATGAACTTAAAATCAAGATGTAGTAATAAAAATAATGACAATTTGTATTCATAAAAATGCCATTCAAAATTCGTTTGGAAAGCAGTGAGGGCGCCATCTCGTGGATGAAAGCGAAGTCCGTTTGTCCCCGACGTGTCACGCTTTCGTATTTCCGCCCAGACCGGAAAAGGAAGTTGTTGGCCGTGTCCAATAATGTGCTAGCATGGATTGTTAGCTTCTGTTCCGACCAAGCGAGTAAACGAGACCCGAGCAAGGATGGCAGACGTCGACGAGCTCTCCCAGCTCGAGTTTTTATCTTTGGTGTCCAAAGTGTGCACGGAGCTCGACAACCATCTTGGAATCAGCGACAAAGATTTAGGTTTGACCACCACGCCGAACAATCGAGCTAGCTCGCTAAGCTAACTTCGCTCCAGCTAATGTTGACTTGTGTTGAATCGTTGTGTTGAATATTCAAGTTCGGAGTTAGCTTTTTTTTATGTGTGCGACTCGCCTACGATAGAAGTAATAAGGTGTTTGCTTGCTTGTATTTCAGCTGAATTCGTCATTAGCCTCGCGGAAAAAGAACCTACATTTGACGGCTTTAAAGCTCTCCTGCTGAAAAATGGAGCCGAATTCACAGTAAGTTCGTCTCATCAAATTTGTCTCATCATATGACAAATGTTGATTGTGAAGTTGGCGTTGACCTCATGGTGTTGTTTGGCAGGACTCCCTCATCGGCAACTTGCTCAGGCTTATTCAGACAATGAGACCACCGTCCAAATCGTCCACAAGTAAAGGTGGTTTGTCATTTTTCCCCTCAGAGAAATTCTGTCACATTAGTTAAATTCTCACTTATGTTGGGTTAAATGGCCCGAGAAGAGCAATAACCTTAATTTTCTGCCGGCATTCAGCATTGTGTAGACATTGATTGTGTTGCTCTCTGAAATGACACGTGAAATAAATACACTAAAAAAGATGTCTTGATGTTGCCATCACAGCCTCTGAAGCTCAGAAGCCAAAGTCAGAGAAGGACAGGCTGAAGGAGCTATTCCCTGCGCTTTGCAGACCAAATGAAGCACCGCCGGTATGAGCTTGACAACACGACTCACCCACTGATCGCGTGAAATGTGATCCGAGAGCACCGAGTGTTTGTGTTTCCTTAGAAACTCCTGGACGAAGAAGATGTGAAGGTCGCTTCTGATGCCATGAAGGAGCTGGAGATGTTCATGCCTAGCGTGAGCGGCACCGATTCCAAAAGCGATCGGAGCCGCACGGAGAAGAGCAGACGCCGCAGTCGGAGCAGAAGCCGGGACCGACACAGACCCCGGGACAGGGACCGCAGGAGGCATCACCACTCCCGTTCGCGCTCCAGGTCCAGATCTCGCTCCAGAGACCGCGATCGCCCCAGAGACCGCGAGCGCTCCAGGCGGCGTGAGCGGTCCTCCCGCTGGAGCGAGCGCTCACCGAGCCCCCGCAGAGATCACGACCGAGACTGGAAGGACAAACACGTGGACCGCCCGCCCCCGGAGGAGCCGTCTGTGGGTGACATCTACAACGGAAAAGTCACCAGCATCATGCAGTTTGGATGCTTTGTCCAACTGGAGGGCCTCAGGTCTGTAACTGCTCTACCAATCTGTGCGCTTCACATGGGAGCGGTCTCCTGTGGCTATTTTTACATCCTCCTTCCTGTGTTGGTGTCCTTTTGAAACCGAATTTGTCTGATAATGTAAACTGCGTGACAAATCAAATGTATGCTGCAGGAAACGTTGGGAAGGTTTGGTGCACATTTCGGAGCTGCGACGAGAAGGCCGAGTGGCCAACGTGGCCGACGTGGTCAGCAAAGGGCAAAGAGTCAAGATCAAAGTCTTGTCCTTCACGGGCTCCAAAACCAGCCTCAGCATGAAAGTGAGCGAGGGGAACAAGGTCATTATGAGCAAGACGTCTCAGCACTCGTCGTCACCGGCTGTCATCCGCCTTTTTCAGGATGTGGACCAGGAGACGGGTGAGGACCTGAACCCAAACAGGAGGAGGAACGTGGGCCCCGACGGCAGCGAGGAGGTGAACATGAGGAACCCCGACGGGCCCAGCAACCTCAACCTCGGCCCCGCCCGCGAGCTGGAGCAGGATGACACGCTTGAGAGGAAGAGACTCACCAAGATATCGGATCCAGAAAAATGGGAGATCAAGCAGGTTGGTTGGAACATGTGGAATACATGACAGACCGAAATCTAGCAGCAAAAATGGCTGACAGACTATTTGATCGAGAGAGAAAAATGCACCGAAAGTCCAAGGGTAAACTCTTGATTGCCTGTGCTTTTAGTAATCGCAGTAGCTGCCCGCCGTCTCGAATAACGGTTAATTATTCCCTCAGATGATCGCCGCCAACGTTTTATCCAAGGAGGAATTCCCCGATTTTGATGACGAAACGGGGATCCTTCCCAAAGTGGACGACGAAGAGGGTAACGAAACATCTCATAGTCCGCTCAGAAACCGCATGAAGGCGTTGCGCTCACGCGATCTGCCGTCACGCTTTCCCCAGATGAAGACTTGGAAATCGAGCTGGTGGAAGAGGAGCCGCCGTTCCTGAGAGGACACACCAAACAGAGCATGGACATGAGCCCCGTCAAGATTGTCAAGGTGCACTGAGACGTTATAGAAGTCGGGCGAGACGGTCTTTTATGTGAAGTTTGCCCCGGCCGGCGCGGACACGCCGATGAACATTTCCGCATGCTAATGTATGTGTGCGCGCGCAGAATCCCGACGGCTCGCTGTCCCAGGCGGCCATGATGCAGAGCGCTCTGGCCAAAGAGCGCAGGGAGCTGAAGCAAGCGGCGCGCGAGGCCGAGATGGACTCCATCCCCATGGGCCTCAACAAACACTGGGTGGACCCGCTGCCCGACGGTAAGCGCCGCCGCCGACTTGCAGAGATGCAGACGGCCCGGGTGGATTATACATGAGAGGCGCTGCGGTGGAAATGTGCTGATGTCAGCTGAGATGTCCAGGACACGATAAGACAGAAGTTGCATCACGTACGTCGGAAGACTTGGCTCGAGCTTTTTTGAAAGTGCAGCAAACGGATCCACAAAAAAAGTGAAATCTGCGCATAAAATGGATGTGATGTCCATTGTCGAAGGGAAATGAATCAGTCCCATGCTTTCATTTTGTTTCAACATTTTTTTAGTATTCAAAACGACGTTCAAGTGTGTTTGGAAAATTATTTGTCTTCAAACAGAAAATCATTATGTTTCAATTTAACTTGATGAATGAACCCATTGGAAAATATGTGTAACCGTTTTGTGCTTTATTTACTCCAAACGATGATGTGCGTTCCGTTCCAGTTGACGGCAGGCAGATAGCCGCCAACATGCGCGGCATCGGCATGATGCCCAACGACATCCCCGAGTGGAAGAAGCACGCCTTTGGCGGCAACAAGGCGTCGTACGGAAAGAAGACTCAGCTTTCCATCCTGGAGCAGAGGGAGAGTTTACCCATCTACAAACTGAAGGAGCAGCTCATTCAGGTTCCTTTGCGCCCTCGTCGACTCCCGCCCTGGCTTCGACTCGCCCGCCGAGCTCTCGTTTTCTCGTCGCAGGCCGTCCACGACAACCAGATCCTGATCGTGATCGGCGAGACCGGCTCCGGGAAGACCACGCAGATCACGCAGTACCTGGCGGAGGCGGGCTACACCACGCGGGGGAAGATCGGCTGCACGCAGCCTCGCCGCGTGGCCGCCATGTCCGTCGCTAAGAGGGTCTCCGAGGAGTACGGCTGCTGTCTTGGACAGGAGGTGCGCGTCGCACGCTCTTTCCGGTGGCCGGACCCCCGGCGGAGATTTTACGGCCCGCTTCCTGTTTTGAAACTCCGTGTCCATAGGTGGGCTACACCATCCGCTTTGAGGACTGCACCAGCCCCGAGACGGTGATCAAGTACATGACGGACGGCATGCTGCTGAGGGAGTGCCTGATTGACTCGGAGCTCGGTCAGTACGCCATCATCATGCTGGACGAAGCCCACGAGAGGACCATCCACACCGACGTCCTCTTTGGGTTGCTCAAGAAGGTTCGTGGCACTTTTGGGGTTTTTTTCTGCAGCATACTTTCATATGCACGTCGTCATTGATATTATTTTCATGTTATTTATTACATGATCAAAAACACTGCCTGAAATCGGTTTCTCGATACCGCCAGTGACTATTTGAATGACTGTATTCCATTTGTCAGTTCAGTGAGACCACATACAAATATTGCGACATTGTCTTTTTTTGCAAAAAAAAAAAAAAATCTTTGCTGCCGTGGTGGTTTTGCTCGGCAGACGGTGCAGAAGCGGACGGACATGAAGCTGATTGTGACGTCGGCCACGCTGGACGCCGTCAAGTTCTCGCAGTACTTCTACGAGGCGCCCATCTTCACCATCCCCGGCAGGACGTACCCGGTGGAGGTGCTCTACACCAAAGAACCCGAGACCGACTACCTGGACGCCAGCCTCATCACCGTCATGCAGATCCACCTGACCGAGCCGCCCGGTACGTCACTTGTGCCACCCCTCCCCATCCAAACCGTCAAGTCATGACGTCCTCCTCCTCCGACAGGCGACATCCTGGTCTTTCTGACCGGGCAAGAAGAGATCGACACCGCCTGCGAGATCCTCTACGAGCGCATGAAGTCTCTCGGCCCCGACGTCCCCGAACTCATCATTCTGCCAGTTTATTCCGCGCTGCCGAGTGAAATGCAGACCAGGATCTTTGACCCAGCGCCGCCGGGCAGCAGAAAAGTACGTTTAGCCATCGACCGGCGTGACCACTTGATTAGGTACAGCTTTATTCCGCAACATGGCAAGAGCAGCCCAGAACTCTAGTGTGTTGCTTGAGAATAAAGTAACTTTTAAAAAAAATCCTCTTGAGTAACTGGTAAATAACTTGAGATTTATTTTTTAATCAGAGGTCAAGTCACTGCTCCGAAAAGTCTTCGCGTGCATTTTCCGAACTTAGTTTGTTCCTGTTAGGTTGTCATAGCAACCAACATCGCCGAGACATCGCTGACCATCGACGGCATCTACTACGTGGTGGACCCCGGCTTTGTCAAGCAGAAAGTCTACAACTCCAAGACGGGCATCGACCAGCTGGTGGTGACGCCTATTTCGCAGGTAGCTTGCGGCCGCCGCTAGGACTTCCCGTAAACCCGAGCTCGTCATTAAAACGCGTCTGAACTCCCACAGGCTCAAGCGAAGCAGAGGGCGGGCCGCGCCGGCCGGACGGGTCCCGGCAAGTGTTACCGCCTCTACACGGAGCGAGCGTACAGGGACGAGATGTTGACTTCCAACGTGCCGGAGATCCAGAGGACCAACCTGGCCAGCACCGTGCTCTCGCTCAAGGTACACACGGCCGCCACACGACGAGGTCACGCGGATGCCATCAGCACCCGCGCGCCGAACACGATTTGCGCCCTCTCTCCGGCAGGCCATGGGCATCAACGACCTGCTCTCTTTCGACTTCATGGACGCTCCCCCCATGGAGACGCTGATCACGGCCATGGAGCAGCTGTACACTCTGGGCGCGCTGGACGACGAGGGCCTGCTCACGCGACTCGGAAGGAGGGTAAGGCCGCACCGCCGGCAATGTTCTTTGGTTGGATTTTCGCCGATGGCTGACGTGCGCCGGCGTCCCGTGCAGATGGCCGAATTCCCTCTGGAGCCCATGTTGTGCAAGATGTTGATCATGTCCGTGCATCTGGGCTGCAGTGAGGAGATGCTCACCATCGTCTCCATGTTGTCCGTGCAGAACGTCTTCTACAGGCCAAAGGTGAGCCTCTCCCTTCTTTGGAATTGACGTATTTGTTATCGGCGTTTCTCATGAACTGTTTTATTTCTTGTGTGTGTGACACAGGACAAGCAGGCCTTGGCGGACCAGAAGAAGGCCAAGTTCCATCAGCCCGAGGGCGACCATCTCACCCTGCTGGCCGTCTACAACTCGTGGAAGAACAACAAGTTCTCTAACCCTTGGTGCTACGAGAACTTCATCCAGGCTCGCTCACTCAGGAGAGCGCAGGACATCCGCAAGCAGATGTTGGGCATCATGGACCGGTACTGTCATGACACACGAGCACTGACCGAGTGAAGAAAATGGATTCACGGCTCAGCCTGAATTCCTCAAATCACGTCATCGTCTCAGAAGCTTTTAAACGCTGCTTCTCAGACACAAGTTGGATGTGGTGTCCTGCGGCAAAGCCACCGTGCGGGTCCAGAAGGCCATCTGCAGCGGTTTCTTTCGCAACGCCGCCAAGAAGGACCCTCAGGAGGGCTACAGGACCCTCATTGACCAGCAGGTGGTCTACATCCACCCTTCCAGTGCTTTGTTCAACCGCCAGCCTGAATGGTGAGAGGAGGGAGGGGGCGAGGGGGTTCAAATTGTTTTTTTCCTCTTTGAAATATTTGTCAGGTATTTTAAAACTAAAACTCTTTAGATTTTCCAAAACAAATGTGAAATGTGATTAATTTCCACGTATGGAAATTGGAAACTGTAATATTTGGTTCTCATACATATTCGGAATAATAAAAAAATGACTGCAGTTGACTTACCTCATTTACGTGCTACACATCTTTTTAATGTCACTTTTTTCAAGATAAAATTCTCAGATTTTTTTCTTTTTAAGCTCTTTGTTCATAAACATGTTTTGCCTCTATTGGACGTCTGTAATATTTTATTTTTAATGGGCTGATCGCATTCCCTTTTCGTCCTCAGGGTTGTCTACCACGAGCTGGTGCTGACCACCAAGGAGTACATGCGCGAGGTGACCACCATCGACCCGCGCTGGCTGGGGGAGTTTGCGCCCGCCTTCTTCAAGGTGTCCGACCCGACGCGCCTCAGCAAGCAGAAGAAGCAGCAGCGCCTGGAGCCTCTCTACAACCGCTACGAGGAGCCCAACGCCTGGAGGATCTCCAGAGCCTTCAGGCGACGCTGACCACTTTCTTGCCAGGGTAGTCGCTGTGCTGACTTGACATTTAGTTGTTTTTTTAAATTCCCATCGAAAAAAAAAAAAACACACACACACAAAAAAACCCCACACGACTGTAAATTTTACCTTCATTATTTTCAACACTTCATGTTGTGCTCATCATATGATGAAGTCACGCTTATGTTTGCGAGAAAATGTATACAATCCAAAAATAGTTTTTTTTTTCTGTGAATAGTAATTTGTTATCCCGTTCTTGCTCGTCAGTCTATAAAAAATGTCTTTTTGAATACAAAATGGCCTTAATGTTTTTTGGGGCAAAGTGGAGGGGTGGGGACTAGTAATTTACAATGATAAAAGAAATTATAGAATCACTGAAAGGTATTTCACGTGAAATACGCAGGTAGTTTTAAATATTTAGTTTTCATTATTTTAGTCCCATCTGTTTCTCCTTGGCGTTCCGATCGTTACATTTATTTCACATATGTGGCCACCAGAGGGCGACGTTAGTGCGGCCGCTTGGTTTCAGTTTAGCGTAGAAGAAAAGTCACTTCGTGTCATTACAAACGAGTCGAACCAAAATGGCAGCGCTGGATGACCTGAAATGTTTGGAGTATTTATCTTTGGTGTCCAAAGTGTGCACGGAGTTGGAAAACCACCTTGGAATAAGCGAAAAGGATCTTGGTATGCCACAATTTATCAGGTAACACGTTTTAATGTCGAAGGTTTTGCTCACATGTTCTTGTACGCTAGCTGAATTCATCATCAGCCTCGCAGACAAACATCCAACATTTGGGGAGTTTAAAGCTGCCTTGACACAAAATGGAGCCGACTTTACGGTGGGTTTCGTGTAGAATTGACAATTTTAACATTTCAGACAGTTGTTGGACGACGTATTGTGTTGTTTCTTTCAGGAAACGCTCACCACGAATTTATTTCGGATTATCAAAACCATGCAAGCGTCAATGACTCAAGGTAGACATTTTCTTCCTTCTGTGTAATGTTTTTAACCACGAATATTATTGCGGGTATTGAATATGGTCTTTGTTTCCCTACGGCTCACGATAGCACATCAGCAAAACCCCAAGAGCGAACGAGACAAGCTGAAAGAGAAATATCCTGCTTTATGTAAAGCAGATGATCCCGTGTGGCGGGTATGGCACTGCCCTCTATTCTCAAACAATGAATAAACTTTCTTGCATCCACTTTATATTGAAGTCAGCCCTGCAAATCCTGACATTCGTCTCTTGTTGGAAAAAGCAATACTGAAAGTATTGTTTGTGACTTTCTGGCCTTCAGATGACGTCATGCCAAGACATTAAAAACGATGAGCAAGTTGCCGCAGCAGCCATGAAGGAGCTGGAGATGCTCATGCCTCACTGTGCACCTGGGTGAGTTTCCAATAAAACTGCATAAACACCCCCCACCACCACCACCAGGCATATTAAACATTCACCCATTTTCTGTGGCTTTCACCTGAATGAGGAATCTTAATGTCACTTTGTCATTCTCTCACCACAAACACAACATTGCACAGTGCCAGAAAAAACGCTGCAAGCAAGGTGAGCACTCAGAAGTCGCATGGTCTCAAGTTGACAGACTGTGACGACGATGCGTCGGGCAAGCGGCGACGGAAACGACCGTCCCGCTGGAGTGACCGACCGCCGAGCCCGTCCCGAGACGCCGCCCGGGAGGAGGTGATCCCGCAGCCCAAACCCGTCGAGCGGCCTCTGTCCGACGTTCCCGTGGTGGGCAACATCTACTGTGGGAAAGTGTCCAGCGTCATGCAGTTTGGATGCTTTGTCCAGCTGGAAGGTCTTAGGTATGCCCCGGTGTTTGTGGAAATGTTTTTTATTGTCAACCTTTTCTGACCACTGTCATGACCTGAAAGTTCAAGTCCTGCTCTGAAACAAACTCCAGGAGAATGGGGGGGGGGGTTATTTTTTTTTTAATCAAAAAAATGTGTATATATGAAAAACATGTATGCAGGAAGCGCTGGGAAGGTCTGGTGCACGTGTCGGAACTGCGCAAGGAAGGGCGAATAGCAGATGTGTCGACTGTGGTTAGCAGGGGACAAAAGGTCCGGGTCAAAGTCCTGTCCATGACCGGAACAAAGGCCAGCCTCAGCATGAAGGTCAGTCCCAGTCGGAGGAGGACGAGCGGCAAAAAAGAACTTTGACAGAGCTGTAAACGTTGTTCCAGGACGTCGACCAAGAAACCGGAGAGGACCTGAACCCCAACCGTAGGAGGAACTTTGAAATGGGCGCGGGTGCCGGGGACGATGCCCTGAGGAATCCAGACTTTCCCGTGGAGGTCTGCATTGTGGAGAGCGAGGAGAACCCAAGTGAGCAAAAGCGAATGGCCAAGATCACCGACTTGGAAAAATGGGAGATCAAACAGGTCAGCGGTCATCAAAGACAAATCATTAGAATTAATCGATCAAGTGGATTCCTCACTCCGATTCCGAACAGTCTCCCCTTCCTCATCCAGATGATTGCCGCCAACGTGCTCCCGAAGGAGGAATACCCGGAGTTTGATGAGGAAACTGGAATCCTTCCCAACTTTGACGACGAGGATGGTAAGCGTGTTGCTGATTATTTTTTTGACCGTTCACGTGACCGTGTGATGACATGCCGATCACGTCACCAGATGTGGACGTGGAGATCGACTTAGTAGAAGAGGAACCACCCTTCTTGCGGGGTCAGACCCGGTGGAGCACCAGCATGAGTCCCGTCAAGATCGTCAAGGTGCATTCTGATCATATTTCTAGAAAATGGCTCTAATGAGGTTACCTTTTAATGGGGACATTTTGTGGACATTTCAATCTTTGTATGCAAGTATAGTAGAACCTGGGCTGAAATGGCAATATCACATTCAATAAAAATAAAGGTGATGTTGACTTTAAAAAAAAACATTCAGAATTTATATTTACTTCATGTTGTTTTCTGTGTGCTGAACTGTAGTTCTTATGAAGACTTTTTTTGAAAGGCAGAATATTTATTTTGGATAATGATTGTCCATTTTCTCTGTTTTTAGAATCCCGACAGCTCGCTGTCACAGGCGGCCATGATGCAGAGCGCCCTGGCCAAAGAGCGTCGCGAGCTCAAGCAGGCGGCTCGCGCAGACGAGATGGACCGCATCCCCACCGGCCTCCACAAGAACTGGATTGACCCCATGCCGGACTGTAAGCACCGCGACGTTTGATTGAGCGCGGGGAGCGACTGCGAGCCCGGCTCACTCGCTGTCCTCCCCTCGCAGACGACGGGCGGCAGATTGCCGCCAACATGCGCGGCATTGGCGCACTGCCGGCCGACGTTCCCGAGTGGAAGCGGTACGCCTTCGGGGGCAACCAGGTGTCCTACGGCAGGAAGACGGAGCTGTCCATCATGCAGCAGCGGGAGAGTCTTCCCATCTTCAACCTCAAGCAGCAGCTGGTTCAGGTCCGGAAGGCCACTGGGGCTATCAGGAAGTCCTGCCCTCCCTCGTTCATTTTCTCTCCTTCGCTTTCCGCAGGCCGTCCACGACAACCAGATCCTGATCGTGGTGGGCGAGACCGGCTCCGGGAAGACCACGCAGATCACGCAGTACCTGGCGGAGGCCGGATACACGGCGCGCGGGAAGATTGGCTGCCCGCAGCCCCGCCGCGTGGC